CACACACACACACACACACACACATACATACACTAGCTGGATACCCGTGCTCCGCTACAAAACTATGTGATTGGGCTTGACAAATCAACACTTACAGCTTGAAAATTAATAAGTAGTTATGATTAGCCTCTCCTCTCCCCAGAAACAGAATTCTTTTCAGGTGGGGACGGAGAGTAGAACGTCTAGCTCCTTAGCATCAGAGTGTGTTAATAATAATAGAAATACTAATAATCTGATGGTCATTTTGAAAAATCCTTTCTCAGCGAGCACTTAAAAGCCAAGAGGAACATACGGTTCTGGCGATTTCGTGATGATGCATGAGTGGTATTTTGCTTTTATATAGAGAGACACTAAGGAAGGAGAATTTGGAGATATATCATACCTTTCTATATTTACTCAACTTGGAACTGCAGTTCTTTGTTTTCTTCAGAACACTCACACAGCTGTAAACCACTTGATGAAGAAAACATTCTGTTTAGATAGTAAATATATTAAAAGTGACTCACTGTAAAAGTCCTGCATCCTTCACTTGGCCATCTGGAAATCTTCCTACGCTTCCTCCTCATTCCTTCTTCTTTTTTCCCCCAGTAGTTATCTTGGAAAAAATCCTAGTCTTCTTTTTAGTTCTAAGTTCTGGAAAAGTACACTTGACATTTACTACTTGCACAAATCAGATAGCAGAATGTTATGTGCATAATGAAAATGAATCCACCTCTTTCAATGTATTGCAGTCTTCATTCACATTGACTCATCTCTGTAAGACTGCTAATAAGTATGCTTTTTGACTTGGTACACAGTGATGGTTAAACATCTTCCTACTGTCCAAAGAGCAAAGATAGAGATGTGGAAAGATACTGTGTTCTCTTTTAAAGCCCAGTGTCTTGCCTTCTGGATGTAGTTCATGTTTTTCTCCCACTAACACATTTAAGAATGCAACTGTTCCTTGGGGGGAAAAAAATAGGAAAAAACTCTTGATATTATTTGTATTGGTCAATAGAAAAGTAGCAATGAACAAATTGGTGTATTAGATTTCACAGATGCCATAAGATGGGCAATGTCCAAGTCCCTAAATGCTATGAATGGAACTTTTCTGTTTTGAGACTATGACCTCCTATAAAGAAGGCAACGATTTAGCTTCCGATTTAAAGTTGCTGTTTGGGGGAAAACAGATATGCCTTCATAGCTAAACAAGTTCTGCTATCTATTTTTGGCTCTGTGTTTGTGCAGTTCTTCAGCGATTGAATAATTGCATAGACATGCACCATTGATGCAGCACAGTAGGAACAGTGTTATAATAAAGGCTTCAGAAGACATTTAAGCACTCCATGCTGCTGCGCAAAGATGTCTATTCACTGCCAGAGCTTATGGCAAAGTTTTATAGATAGCTTAATCAATCTTTTTTCATGGCCATAAATTATATATATATAGCTTATAATTTCTGTCTGGATGGTCTCTTGTGATGAGCCGATGGACAGAGAATGGAAGCAGTTAGCTTCCTCCCATAATTGGGGCATACCAGCGGTTGTGACACTAAATATATAATTATATATATTATATATATATATGCCCAAATATGGGAGGAGGCATACTGCTTCCTTTCTCTGTCTATCTACTTCAAGCTATTGAAGATCTGTATTTATTTATCAGCTCAAATACATCACAAATGTAACAAAGGCAACAGTAAAAATATTGGCTTTCTGTCTGGATGGTCTCTTGTGATGAGCCGATAGACAGAGAAAGGAAGCAGTATGCTGCCTCCCATATTTGGGCATACCAGGGGTTGCGACACTAAATACCTACCTATTTCCCTGGCTCAGCTGATAAAGGAGGANGACAATGTATATTATTTGTTTACTAAGGGAACTTCTTTCTTACTTCTCTGTTTAGCTAACTATGGATTACCACAGTAACTTTTAAATGTATGATTTGTTTGTGCCCCTTGTTTTCCTCTTTCAGGTCCCATAAATCATCTGGCTGGGCCAGCGCTCCCAATGAACATAACAGTATGAGCGATTCTCAGTTCCTTTTTGGCTCCCAGTTTGGCTCCCAGAATTCACAATGTGCATCAGCCTCAGTTGAATTTAATATCCCACAAAGGCAGGACAGAGGTTCACAACAGAATTCTCAGGACGTGAGTCCAATGTGTAGCGAATGCTGGTACTGTATTACATGGCGTCAGTAGTCAAAATTAGAACATGGTGATATTCTTTCTGCAAAAGCTGGATGTTAAATATGAGACTCACAAAAAAAATCCAATAAAGCTGCATAGGGTCAGGCTTATAATTTACCCAAGATCCTGGCCCAAATGGTCCTACTGATCAATGGGGTATCAGTCTTTTTAAAAAACAATGTAGTGTAAGTATTGGATAGTTCTAGATTTTTTAAAAAACGGAAATGTTTGTGATCATCAATAAAAACTGTTTTTATTTATTTTCTCACATAAGAAATATTGATATCTATTTTTTTTATTTTCTTAGAAATATCTTAAGTGGCCATTGTAATCCATAGTAGCTAATCAGAACTTTTGAGAGGCTGAATTTGCATTACAGTTTAGCACAAAGGTTGAGTAGGAAGAAGTTGCAGAAAAATCCCATGGGGTTTTCTTTCCTTGATGCGGTTGGGAGAAAAATGTTTCTACTTTTAATTAACTTTGATGAGTGAAACTTGTTATTGATTAATGTGGGTTTTATTATTATCTTAACTATGGTTAGCTTAAGCATGCCAGCTTCAGTACTGATGGTTCCATGTTGCTTCCTTGAGCCTAACCTTAGTTAATGTTAGCTACAATTTGTCTTCGGTTGCACTAAACAGTTTGTCAACTGCTAAACTAGTCAGAAAAACAGAGGCTTCCATATTTTTCCTTCTAGCCAGACCAAAACAGAGATGGCATGTAGGGATAAGGAAAATACACATCTCAGCCAAGAGCTTGGAGTAACTTCTGATACAATGAGGGTGAACCTTTTGAATTCCGTGTGTCACAAATTTGGAAAAAACGCCTAACTTGACTGTTGATGTCTTTGTCTCTGTCTGTCTGTCTTTCTCTCTCTCTCTCTCTCACATGCTCACTCTCTCTCTCACTCCCTCTCTCTCTGACACATGCACACACCTGAACAAAATACAATTATTAACATCATTTATTTTTAAAAAATGCAGCTGCATTGAAGCAGTTCTGAGTTGCATGAGGATTTTGTTCTTGAAGTTGCTTTCCTCAGCCTCAGCATGTGGAAAAAAACACCATATGAAAGCACATGCCATTCTTATGTGACTTTTA